TTCATAAATATTAAAAGTAGAATTGAATTGGTCTTTCAATTTAAAATATATTCTGAGCTGATTGATACTGTCTGAACACTTGACTGACTGCTGTATGTCGAGCACAGTATAGGATACAAAGTATACAATAACTGTATATTAACTAAATGTATATGTCCCATCAAATATTGAAAAATGGAACATCGTGAATACACATTTAGTGTTTCGTATAACTAAATAAAGTGAAAGAACTATGTTTACTGACTTTTAAATTTAGTGGCATACAAAAACTCTAGTTAAATTATGATGAGCATTCAATTTATGTAGAGTTTGAACCATTTATTTTTAATATTAAGTATAATGTAAAGTATAAATAGCGAAAATGTAATATAATTGTCTTGTTCAACATTTGTTTTCATACAAATTTTCCGCCATATTTATCCCCCTCTTCTTTTAGTAAAACCATTAGTCACAAAAGGTCAAAAGCTTTTTCAACTTGACGTCCTGCTCTGTATACTTCCTAAAACCCAAGTTTATCGAGCTTGTCAGTGATCTTGAATATTGAACACGTGACTTATGTCAGGAATAGAATGAAAGAGACCGAGCAAACGTATAGACTATGTGCAGTTAATAAGAAAGAAGCTCTAGACAGAATTAGCAATACTATTTGTTATTTAAGTAGATTCTTTAAACTCTTGTGACTTATAAAACTAAACACGAAATTAAACTTCTTTTTCAGGATAAATAGATGTCAGTTATAGAAATGAAAAACGCCAAAACTTGCGAAATCTGGAGTGTTACCATTCATTATATAATGAAATGTTACACATTTCACATACCTAAGTAAATATTAAAAGTAGAACTGAATCGCTCTTTGATTATAAAAAAAAATCTAAGTGGAATGACACAGTTTAATCTGATTGGCTTGAGTATATAAAACGTTGTTTTTGTTTTAAAGTACAAGAATTGTTCATTATCTTTTATAAGTGATATAAAATCTTACATACTGAGTTGCAATGAATATATAATGATATTATGCGAAAGCAAATCCAGTAATTTATAAAATAAAATGCTTATTTAAATAGTAATTGATGTTTTTTCACGTATGTATGATACTTATTAATTTTACTTACATGTTAGCATATTTGGCTATAACAAAACGTGAGTTTTTTTTATAAGAACACTGGTTTATATCTTATCTTTGTATACAGTGAAAGACACCGTAACAATTTCAAAATCCACGTGAGGAAAATATCACTGAAATAATCACTTTATTTATAACTAAACGTCCTTTCACAATTATGTTCATTTGGGAAAAATGTATTTGGAAAACTAATAAGTTTATATGTATATTAGATGAAGTTTCTAAAGACACGGAAATATAATTTCCGATTTGTAGAAACGAAAGTACTAGAAGAACACAAGGTTAAATTTTCTAACCTTGTCATCAGCTGTTATGCATCAGTAATATGTTGAACTAGCCCACAACATTTATATGTATGACAATGTGATGACCTTTATATTTGGTAACAAACAACAGTCTTGATGTCAGACAAAGGTTTATATCAATGTCTATTGAAGAAGTAAAACCACAAAGTTTTATGAAATTTAATTGTATAGAACTTCAAGTGAATGGTAAGTGTTGCTATTTTAAGTAGATTCTAGAATAATAAAATGATTGGATAAACAGTAAGTCGTTCATTTATTATATTTAGTTGTAGCAAAATGATATGAATGAAATCATACACAATGGATTAACATAAGAATATGTCTTATGCCAGACATTATTACAAGTGAAACGTGTTATATGTGAATATATATTTATAAAGAGAATCTATATGTCGAATTGTATAGAGAATTAAATAAGCATCTTTTTCAGGATAATAAATGTATGTAAACTAAATTATTGGTTATAATAAGTGCCTCATTCAAAGAATGGATAATATATGTGATAAAAACTGATATATGTTATAATAATTGTCTTGCTGAAATAAGGGTTTAACTTGTGAAAGCGAAACAGCAGATGTATTAAAATTCTAAGGAACTATAGAAATATTTAATTATAAAGTATTTTGGCACTTGTGTATAAAGTTAAAATCATAAATAATATTCAACGTTAAACTGGTATACAATTAAAAACATTTTATTTAGGCCTATCTATAGCCTTCAAAAAGTTGACGACTCTACATGTTTTGACGTTACAACGTC